TATTTTGGGTCCTCGGCTTGCGCTGCCGCTTAAGGCTCATGTTCTACCTGCAAAAATGCGCATGTTCCCGGCGATTCACCTGCAGCGGCGACCCTGCCCACCCGCCCCCAAAACCCCCCGCCGCGCAGCTGCCAAACCCCACAGGCGTGAGCTTCGCTGACGTGGCGCCCGTCGCCTTCAGAGGCCCGGCCGTAGGCGCCCTGCTCGTCCTGCTAGCCATCAGAGTGGTGCGGCCGTCATGCGCTCTGCAGCGGCGCCCTGGCTCCCGGCGTCCACCACCGCTCAACTGCTCGCGCCTGTGCCGGCCTCGTCCTCTCTTTGCATGCTTTTGCGCCTCCTTGCCGTTGCTGCAGCGTGCGGCGTGCCGGCCCCAACGTTAGGCAGCCCCACCCACGACCACCACAACGCCTGAGACTGCCCCCGGCTTGCGGCATGCCCCCACCGACTGCGTGCGCCCGAGGCGACCCCCTCTTATCTAAACCATCCCAACCTCCCCCAGGTGCGCAACCTGCTGGCTGTCCTGGACGATTTTGTGAGCATTTACCGGCCCAACTATGGAATCCTGCACGACACCATAGGTGGGGGTTGTAGGGTGATAGCTTGGCCTGGGCATGTTGCTGCATCGCACGGCCTGTAGCACTCGCCTGCGGTGACACACGCCACTGTGTGAAGGGGTGCACGGGAAGGGAGGCGTGCTGCAACCGGCCTGCACAAACCCGGGATGCCCACTCTGCATCCGCACGCAAAGGACACGCATGCAGGATGCACTTGTGCACGCGTGCACGCGCCCCCCCTCCACACTCGCGCACCCCACCTCTCCGCCCACGCCCGCATACAAACACTCCTTCGCCCACGGACGCCTCCAACAACGCCTCACACACCACCTCTCAAAACAGACCCCATGGTGGACGCCGCCTGTGCGGCGTTTGTGGCCGTTGATAAGGTGATATTCCACGCCTACGGCGCCGTGGCTGTCGCCTTTGCCACCTGGGGGCTCATCGAGCTCAAAGCTCTCGCCGTGAAGTCCTGGGTCACCAGCAGCGCCCACGCGGTGACGCGGAGCGACGAGGAGGAGGAGGACAAATTCCTCAGCAGGGCGGAGGAGGCGCGGGCGCGGCGGGAGATGCAGAAGGCTGTGCTGCCCCTGAGCACGTGAGATGAAGCGGGGGGGGGGCGCAACGGCAGTGAGCAGTCAGAACGGACCTGCCTTCCTGTTGCTTTGCAGGGTGGGACAGGGGAGGGCTGGGAAGGTGCCGAGCCGGCAAAGCGTGGGCAGAGGGCTGCGGGGGCCATAGGGAGTTGGCGGCGGAAGGAGGGGGCTGCTGGTTTGCTGCGGCCTGCGGTGACAGGGCGGCCATGGCCCTCAGCTGAACAATAGAGCACCACACACAAAGTCTTAAACCAACCAATCACTCAAAAATGCCAATCAATCAACCAACCAATCAACCAACCAACTATTTGGCCAACAAATCCAGTAATTAACAAACTGATAAGCCTGAAAACCTCTGCCCATTCCCGCCTAACCGCCCCTCCTGCCCCCAGTCTCTTCGACTGGGTAATCATCGCAGCGGGTGCCACCCTGGTGCTGCACCTGCTGGGGGTCAACGTGGTGCCCCTGCTGACAGTGGGCAGCGCCTCCACCCTCATCCTGGGCCTGGCTTCCCAGCAGCTGCTGTCCAACGCCGTCACCGGCGTATCGATCGTGAGTGTCTCGCTGGCGCCGGCGTCGGCGTCGCCGGCAAGAACCACAAGTTGTAGGGGCCGTGCTGTGCGCGCAGATGGCGGCCGCTGCTCCGGGATTGCTGGGTCGGGACCGTTGCAAGCCGCCAGCCCGGCGCTGCAGACGCATGGGGGCGTTGAGGGGCACCCCTCCGCCGCGCTCGGCGCTCACTACGGGTCAACGCGTCTTTCACGCAAGGCCTGCGCCGCACGGCATGCGGCGCGCGGCCCGTGCGCCTCGGCGCTGACCGGTGCGCACCCAATTACCCGCGCGTGACGGCCTCAAACGCCCCCTCCCCTGTCCCCAGTTTTTTTCCAACACGTTTGCCCCGGGTGACAGCGTGACCCTAATGATGGCCAACAAGAACGAGGTGAGGTTGCTGGTCACACGCGACGCTCTGTGTCACTGCAGTCGCCGGTTACACGTGATACTCTTAGTCAGTGCGGTCACTGGTTACACACGACGCTCTGAGTCAGTGCATACGAGTTGCTGTGTGCGGATCATGTGTCGGTGCATGCATGCGGTCATGCGTGAATCCTGGCGACCGTGGGTGGCTCTGACATCAGCAGTGCGCACGTCACCCACATCACGCACTCACTGCGTGGCATCGCACGCACGCAAGCTGTGCTCGGGCAACCTCCGAATTGTCCTCTCCTTGGTTGGTGCCCCTTCTTTCAATGCAAAACAGCCGCTGCCCCCACCCATGCATCGCCCCAGCCCCGTCCTCCGCTCAGTACCTGCTCTCCACAATGCGTCCCCCCGCACCCAGTCTCACGCACACACCAACAATCCCGTCCTGACCGATCTCTGGTCACTGCTGACTCACCCGCTGACGTCACCAGGTGTCAGGGACGGTCCTGCAGGTCACCCCCATGCGCACGATCCTGCGTGACGAGGACGGCGTCGTCATCAGCCTGCCAAACAAGGTCGGCGGTGACGCCGGGCAGGATGAGGGGAAACAGGGTGACGTGGCGGCCTGTTCTGATGGGGCGGCCTCGCGCGGTGGCCGTGAGGCCCTGCGCGCATGCCGCCCCGCCTGCCGCTTGCGCAAGCGGCTGCATGCGCGCTACTCTTGAGGCGCGCGGCGCGCCGCGTTTGAGGGATGCGCGCTCGGGCCTGCGGCTTGCCGTCGACGCCGGCCCCCCCTGGCGCTGGCGCATCGGCACCTCACTTGATCCCCACTAGACACCCCTCGGCCCCCTCCAAAGCGCCGACCAAACCTCCGCCCCCCCTCCCACCTCCCCGTCCCCTGCGAATTCAAACGCCAGAGCGTGACAGACATGGTGATTTTCAACAAGTCGCGCGTCGTCGCCTCGCTGCCCAGCCAGCTGGGCACGATCCTCCGCCAGCCCCTGCGCCTGCGCCTGCGCCTGGGGGGCGGCCAGTCTGTGGCCAGCCTGTCGGATCTGCGGGAAGAGGCGCTCTCGCGGCTGGCGGCGGCCGAGCGGGCGGGGGTGATGGAGGCGGGGACGGGAAAGGTGGCGTTTGGGCGGCTGACAGAGGCAGGGGTGGAGCTGCTGCTTTCGGTGAGAGAGTGTGTGCGTGAGCGTTTGTGTGTGCGGGCGTGTATATATGTATGTGTATGTGTTTGTGAATGTGTGTGTGGGGGGGGCGCGGCGGATCAAGGCGGGCACGGAGGCGATTGCCAATGCATACGGCGCTGCATGACATGTTCTCAGCTGCAGGCTTGGGGCAGTTGTGGGG